CAGTTGGTCTCATTAATTTAAAACAGATTTTTTTTTTTTTTTTTTTATATTGCCCTCTTTTAATTTATGGGAAAAGGGGGAAAGTTTGCAAGCCTGAGATGTCATGTTGTGGTTTTAAAGGACCTAAATACAGAACAGAAAATAAATTTGAACAAATACTTTAATACACAATGAGAAAAAAATTTTGAATAAAGAAGTACAACTGTCGAGCAACAAAGAGCATAAAGTTAGTGAAAGGAAACAATAAAGAACAATGACAACCAGCAAGCTTAAACACAGGGTAAAATAGGGAGAAGCCATGGTGATGCAGGTAAAAGAGATCAAGGTAAATTTCAGGCAAATGTAGGATGAACGAGCTCCATTTTCATTTTGCAATGCATGGCAAGATGTAATGAGAACCTAGAATAAAAACTACACTAAACACTCATGGATTATGACGTGAAAACAGAATCCACAGTATGAATTTTAGGGGTGGCATCTCATGTTTTAGGGGGTGTTTTGCAACCCAAAAGACCAGTGCAATATAGTTACAAGATAGCGTCTAGAGAAAATAACAACTTGTGAAAATACTCAAGAAACATCTAAAGACATGAAGCAGGAAGTTAAAGCATGGGGATATATTTGTCTTTCCATTGCTAAACAAAGTCAGTGCTTTGGAGTGGGCATCAAAAAGCCCTGTTCTCACTCCAATAGAATATTTGTGGACGGAGCTGAATATTTGTGTGAACAAAGCAGTCTTGAAACCCTATGAAGTTGCACCAGTTTGGTAAGAAGGATTTGTCAAATATTCTTTTGAATTATCACTAAGAAAATATATGTAAACTTAATCAATTAAATAAAAATGGTCTCTTGTTATTTTTAAAAAGATGAGTCCTTTCAGCTGCTCACACGCACATCTGAGATTAAATCCTAGGTCGTTCCTGTTTAAGTCAAAGAATTAAACCACTACTCCTTGAGTAGTTGCTTTAGATACCTAAAGCAGGTAAAAGTTTCTTTTTATTTAATATCATACCGTGGGAACAAAATATTGTGTGTCTTTCGTACACTTTAACGTATGCAAATATTTGGTTTCAACTGTTAGTATCTTTGGAAGTCAAGCATCATGCAAACTTAAACTACGGTACATGTTCCGTCCTTGTGTGCACTTTTAGTAAAACACAGCATGCAGCCTGCAGTATCTGCTTCTCATTCAATGCATCTACTTGGTGTTTAGATTACTCTCACTGCATCTGTTTCCACTGCTTGTGTGTCACTTTCATCCCTCTATGAAGCTATAACATTTTCTCCCCTGATCCACTTTCAGTGGCGCTGCGCATTTTCTTTACTACTAATATTCCTTGACGTATTTTACTAACCACTATTTTGCAATAGGTGTTATATTTTTTACTTATATTGACCCCATGATGTTTATCAGCAAAAACCGCAATTTATCTCTTTAAATGTAAGAGTGGAGGGGTGATCTAATACCTTGTGAGAAGCAGCTGAGATGTTACCAGTATCTCTTTGACATTATCCATTGCAAACACATGAGAATTACCTCCAGGTTAAAGGCTCTACACTGGCTTTATGCAGCACTTAAATGTGGAGCGCTCAAACTATTAATCTGATTATAAACTGGTACATGAGTACCCTGTTCACTTTTTGTGCCTGCATTAGAACAGTAAGCGCATTGAAATCAGAGAGAGTGGCGGAAGCGGGCAAAGCACTCACCAGCTTCTGAGACTGTTTAATCTGTTCATAAACCAGCTGCAGAAGCTGAAATCCTCAGGTAGGGCACATTGAACAGCTTGTGGCAAAAAAAACATTGAGCCAAGGGCTGAGGTCAAAGTCTGGTCAGTAGCATATTTCCTTGGCCTTAGCAGGGAACTGACCGGACAAAACAGAGAGGTAGAGAGGGTGCTTACAGCAGGAGAGTGATGAGGGGAGGGGTAACTTGAGATGGACAAGACATTCCTTGCAGGGCAACATTTACATCTGGAGAGAAAATTTTCTTATGAATGTTTATCACTTTTTTTTTTATCAAGACACACAAAACAGAGCTACAGTTATACTTACAGTACAGAACAAATGTAATTTCTTTACATTTTGAGACTATAAAAAGTCTTTTATAGTACCTTGTAAAAGTATTCATAGCCTATGAACCTTTGCATACTATCAGATTTCAACGACAAACTAGAAATTTATCGTATAGGGATTTACAATGATGGACAAATGCAAAATACATTTAGTGCACCACTGTAACTCGTACCACAACCCCCCTTTTTTAACACCTTTCTTCTGGCCATTTTTCTTAAAGGCCAGATTTGTGGATTGCACAAATAATAGCTGTCTTAGTTACACCTGAGCTGTGGGACCTGGGGATGGAATATTGCCTTGTAAAATAACCCTGCTCTATACCTTAAAGGAATAGTACACCCAAAACATGATTAGCCTTCATTTTCTACTC